ATCTTTTTCCCACAGCAACCTCCACAGATCTGAAAAAAAAAGTGAAAGCCGTTTACAACTCCCTGTAACGCCGAATTAGAGCGCAGCTTTTGAGGAGGAGGAGGGAAGGGTGAACTGACCGGGGGGGGGGGTCACGTGACCTTGGGGGGTTACGTGAACTGGGGGTCACGTGACGATGACAATGCCGATGATGTCATCACTGACGTCACTGATGACGTCATCAGTGACGATGCGGATACCGACGACGTCATTAGTGACGTCACTGATGACGTCACCAGTGATGATGACGATGCGGATGTCGGTGACGTCATCAGTGGTGATGACGATGACGATGCGGATGCCAGTGACGACATCAGTGACGTCACTGATGACGTCATCAGTGATGATGACGATGCGGATGTCGGTAACGTCATCAGTGACGTCACTGATGACGCCATCAGCGATGATGACGATGCGGATGCCGGTGACGTCACTGATGACGTCATCAGTGATGCTGACGATGCCGGTGACGTCATTAGTGGCGACGACGTCATCGGGGGTCACGTGTCCTCGGGGAGGGGGTCACGTGAGCTCAGGGGAGTCACGTGACCTCCGGGGTCACGTCCCCCCCCCCCCCCCCCAGGTCACGTGACCCCGGGGGGGGGGGGGGGGGGGGCTCGCGCGGTGCATTATGGGACATTTCCCATAATGCACAGCGCGGTTATGCCGACGCCGACGCCGCTCAAGCCGAAAACGGGCGCCTAAGAGCTGCGCTCTAAAAAAAAAAGTATCAGAGAGGTTGTGAATAGCCCTGACGCACGCCGCGCAAGCAGTAATGTGAAGCTCCAGGCTTGTTTTTGAACATTTCAAATTTCTTTAAATATAAAAAGCAACTTCGAGGCGCTGTTATTAATCAGAAAGATCACAAAAAAAAAAACAAAAAAAACATACACGTTTCTTTAAGAAATAAACCGTTTTTAATCGGCAGTTATGCGAACTAACATAGCCACTCCGGGCTTTGACACAGCGCGTCGTCTGCTCGCGTCATACCAGCTCCGTCACAGGAAGGCGCCCGCGAGGTGGCGCCACCAAAAGAAGTGTGGTTTTAGGGAGGCTCAAGTGAGGGTGGGTGCAACTGCTAGATCGGCGATCACGGGACATGGACGCCATTTAATTGCTAAATTTTGCTGGGAGTCTATGGGGCAAAGGGTCGTTTTCTTTCCTAACTCGGGTCATAAAAGCCCATTAAGGTGCTTGAATAATTTACACAAGGTACAAATGATTACTTTTCCATAGCCACCAGTTTTGTTGCGATAGGTTAAGTATTTTTTTAACGCGAAAAATGGTAAATTCCGCCATCTTGGACGTTGCTGCTTGTCTGGCAACTTTGCTTTCTCCGCTCGACGTTTGCAATTCTCGGAGCGAGAAGGAAGCGAGAGAGGCTGCGCCAAGGCGCTCGTTGCTTGCAATGGGAGGCGAGAGGGGGAAAGGCGCATGGAGCAACCGAGTTGCAACAGAGCGGGCGCCTGCTCTCGTGCAGGCAACACTGGCGCATATCCTTTCTCAAATCCTCTCCCTCTGGCGCCGCCATTAAATTGCAAACGCTCTCCAGGTTTTGAGTTGCGCCCACCCTCACTACAGCCTCCCTATGTGGTTTACGTGAAAAAAGCAAGGAAGGACACCTAGCACGCACCAGGGAAGAACTCGGGGTTAACCCAGAAAGACAAGGAGCGTCGTGACGAAGCACTCTTGGCGCTCTTTGATTCGCTCTATCGGATCGCACCGTAAGCTGCGGTCGGACTGAATGGCAAGGGAACGTTTTACTCCTGCACGAAACAGCATGTAAGCGAGAGACGGAAACATGGGAAACAAAACAATTAGCCGTGACAAGCTGCATCTCATCAAGAGGTGCGGAAAGTCTGTAAGCAGAGTCGGGCATGCTGGGGATGTTTTATCAAGCTGATTGTTTGTCTGCCGTTTATGCGCGCTGTTTTTTATTATTTTTTTTTTCTATTCATGTTACAGCTGAGAATTTTTTTTGAAGTGCCAAAGACCTTTTTCTGATTTTGTTTAAAAGCGCGCGCCATCTAGAAGCTGCTTCACCGACTACCCGAGTCCGCCATTGCCTTTGCAGGCACCCTGCATCGATAGGACACGAGAGTTACGTCGGCGTTCGACGTGACCTCGGCTGAGCTCGTATCGAGAACGAGCACTGCGTCAGCGGTCGGCGAGGACTCGGAGCCAATCACGCGCCTCGTGCCCAAGAAATGGCAACCGCCGATGTTGCTTTGGGGAGGGAGGGGGGGGGTTTGTTCGGAAGGCCGAGGCGGTTTCTGCTAAATGCTAAGTTTTTTGTTTTGTTTTTTAATGCGTTTTGTATGTGCTGAGTTTGCCAAGTACTTTTATTCACCCCTTGTCCCTGCCACACAACCACATGGCGAAATAAATACAAATATACCTATCATTTAAAAATCATTTCAGTAAAAAAACAAAACAAAAAAAAAAACATAAGGGGACAATGCTTCATTTCTCTGGAAAGTGTTGCTTGCATAAACTCGACAACATTGAAGAGCACACTTTTTTTTTTGCCTCACTGACCGTTGACAGGAAGTCAGTTGTTTGTATTCATACTAGCGGCACCGGACGTTTCCCAATAAATCCGAATCGCAGGTGCTGGATTTACTATTTCCTATGCACTAATTCTTACCTACAAAAAAAAAAAAAAATATTTTGCCGGGAAATGGAAGCCCACTCACTGAGCAACGTGTTTAGGAGTTTCGCCAATATGGACAACTCAGTGTTTGCCCACTGAGTCATTAATGAACTTAAAAATACGGGAGAGAAGCTCCAATCTGGGGAAAGGTAGATCATTTAGGTGAAGCAAACTTTCCCTCACGATGTCCCGTGTGAAGCAAACGACGTCAAAAGTTGCAAGAGCGAGAAGTGGCGCTGAATTTAGGCCAGATTTGCCGGCCTACATGCCTAGCAAAGCCGAGAAGCAAGGCAAGAGCCAGTTGTTCTGTACAACGAAAACATTCTTCTTCACGACGCTTGGAATGTGTCCCATTACTGGCATCTTTTACCTTTTGTTTTGGGATGCCTATAGTAATAATAATATTAGGGAATGCTCTTGGGAAACGCCACACAAGTCCCCCTTTGAGAAACGCTAACGTTGACCCTTCACTTTTCTCTTTTGCTTCCTCTATTTTTTGGTGCCTCTTTTTGGCTTCGTTGCAGGGTCAGTGATAGCGTTTCCCAAGGGTCATGCTAACAATCCACCAATGGATATCTTAATTTTTTCCGGCTTCTGTCGCACACTTGCCGCTTTTTGCACCGCTTTTTGCACCGCCTTTCGGCCAGCCCAGCCGGCGCTGCTTCTGCTCCTCAGTCTCGTTTGCCCGCCTTGCACGTTTAGAAGCGGCATCCGCTGCCTGACGCTGCTGACCGGTTTCCTGCGCGCGCATTGGCTTCTGCCTCATGACATCGCCTCCCTGAGCATAGCCTTCAACGTGCATTGCTCTCCTCCTCTCTATGCGGCGCGCTTCCCTTTCCACTTTTTGTCCGCAGGTGGTGGACGCCGCCTGCTTTTCCATGTCATTTGGCTGCTAATGTGAACGCATTATAATAATATTATTAATAGTCATAATATTAATAATGACTTCAAGTCAGACCTTAGTCACTGACAAGGTGAGAAGGGCCGCGAGCAGCTTCAGTAGTCCCGCCTCCAGCGCCAGATTCCTACCTTCAGCAACGCGTCCCAAAGCACCATGAACGCGCACATGCAGCCAAAGCACGGCGGAGGGCATGGAGCACATGCTGGATGTCGGGAACTGGAAAGAAACGCCCAGTCGTCCTCATTCTGTCAGTGGCAGAATCATGCAGTTACAAGTCGGAGCCACTGACAACCCCAACAACAACTTTCATTTCTTTTTGTTGAAAACAATTAGAAATGATCACTAGGCATCATCCTAAAATTGTAGAGCTTGGGAAAGGCATATTTGCAGGAAAAAAAGGAAAGGAAAAAGCACAGTCAGAACTCCCATTTGAATAAATGACGTCAATTATGAAATGGTGCACTCCTTACCTTTCACAGGACTTCAAACCGGATGTGTCTTTTACCTTTCTCTCGCTCTCATCCATTACGGAAATCACGAGCGCATGTGCCAGCAAACTAGACAATCACTCACATATTTCAAGAAGTGTTGCAACATGTCCTTTCTCCACATGCAGACAACCAGCTTTATAGCCAAAGGGTGTTCAAGGGTCGAAACACCCCCCGAAATTTCAAAGTTTCCCACATTCCCCCTTCTGTTGTCAGTTCTTGCGTGTGTGTGTGTGTTTCGTCATTTTGTCAAGGCAATAAAAATCATACGAGTTTCTTTTTCTGTTCAACAACCCATTACGGCAAGGGGCCGGGCCCACAACATTCCAAAGCAAAACGAAGATGATGACACTGTCCGTGGACTGCGCGAGTTTCGCGAGAGCTCCAGCTCTCCGAAGAGCTCTCGCCAAACTCGGCCATGTAACCAAAGCCTTTCTCCAGGCTCGCAGGTGTGAATGGCTCAGCTCCCGACGTCACAAAAGCCACGAAACCCTGGCCTCGCCTCTGAGAATGCAGGCGGCTTGACTAAAGTCCCTCTACCCTTTGAGGCTCAAGGACTCAACGACAATCTCAGGGCAGCAAACCCTACAATGAAAACAGGACAATAAAATCACAAACAGCTTAGTGTCTTTTTTTTCTTCTTGTTTTCGTCCTGTCTTCCCTTTTTTTAGAGTTTACTAGCCTGCACTCCTTTATTTTCAGTAATACACCAACCAAAATGTAAAAAAAAACAAAAAAACAACCCCTTCATAAAAAAAAAAAAAGAAGTGAGAGAGAAAAGTGGCAGCATATGCATCATGGAAGCAACTTTGGAATGCTCATTGTCACTTGGTTTCAAAGCGTACCAAGTTTACTTCTTTAATTGCTGCAGTGGGTAATGTTTATAATCTCCCGCTCAGCACATGAGTCGTGAAAGTGATAAGTTCAATAGCCAAGCAGTCGCTTGACGCTTTATTCAAGAATGATTATTGACCTACAACTTTAAGCGTGTCATCAAGGTTTCCAACAGAGTCGGCACACTCACGTCTGGTAGCATCGTCCTTTCTAGGCAAGAGCGATGTGGCCAACGACGTCGATCCCTATGTCGCAAGCCTCAACTTCGAGCGAATCTCCAGCCTGTGCGGAGCATCGTTTCGTTAAATAAACTGCATGGAGAAGTTCTGGTTCAGACAGAGGTGTGGAATGACCGCACTGCTTAGCGCGTCTCAGTGGTACAGGCTGCTTGTCTTTCCCCGGAGGCATTGTATCCTAATGTAAATGCCCTGCTGCAAATCCTGGCCACCATGCCCGTTACCACTGCTAAAACGGAACGTTCGTTCTCGAGACTGCGAAGACTCAAATCACACCTGAGAGCTTCAACGTCCCAGCATGACTTTTGCTAGGGGTTGCACTTCTGAACATTCACCGGAACATACAAATCAGCCCCGAAAGTGTCCTCTCGCTTCTTTTTATCAACCAACGTCGACTTCCACTAAATGTTTAGACCTACAAAATGAGAGAAACTCATACTTTTATCTGTCCTTTTATCGTAAAATGACATCGAAGAACAGAAAGAATCCAAAGTATGACTAGCACAATCATTTCTGAAAAATGTGATCCGCACAGGAACAATTAGCGTGACCCTTCATTTGCGCCTTTGCCCCAGTGCGCCTTGCAGTTTTTATGTTTAATCATATTCTAAACTTCACTATTCTCTGGAACTCTTCCGTGGTTTTTTAGTAATTGGATACCCGAGTGTTCTACAAAGAAGTGTACGCACCAGAATATTTTGCAGGCCTGTCTGGACTTTTTTGTTCAAAGCCCAATATTATAATTTATGATTGGGTGTATTCATTGTTCACCATTAAAGTCTCCCCTTTCAAAGATTGAATGAACCAGATGAGGCAAAAAAAGGTTGGACTTTTGTCTTCTAAGAAAAAAAAAAGTAACTAAAATTGTTTGCAAAATTTCTTTTCTTCCCTTTCGGATTTTTTGTTGTTCATTGCCTTTTGAATGGTATGAGCAAAGAAAAACACCCCCTGAGAAAATTTTTTGGCTACGCCACTGCAGACGAATCATTGCTATTCAGTTTGTGTCCAACACGGCATGCGTTTTGACAGCCGAATTCTACGAGAAACCTGTCACAAAGAGCCATCACTAAGGGCTGTGACAGCCCGTAACATCATGACCTAATGCGGCACTACAATGTCATGTAACACACATTTTGCTTCATTTACCAAGTGGCGTAATCCACATTTCGACATGCACCCTAAAGGGCTAGCCTAAGTGTTCATGAACGACAGTGCAAACTTGCAACAGCCTTCGAATCCCTACATTTCCCACAAACCTTTTTAAGTTGAGCTCATGGTTCAGTTTTTATTCATAGGACAACACTAAATGTGATAATCAGTGGTGCATGATGAGAATCCTTGTCATCATGCACTGCAGAAAACCTCATTAATTACTTTCTTTGAGACCGTTCACTAGGGCCGAGTTCATGCAACACATAAACTGATACCAAGTTAGTCAGTTTGGAAACTCTATACATGACTTTATATGGCACATATTCACAAGCAAGAGTGACAACCTTTCAAGTGATTCCAGATTGGAATCGCAAGCACTACAATTTTATAAACACAAGAGCCACTCAAACATTTTTTTTCTCCCAATACTTTATCCTGACCGAAAACAACTGCAAAGCTGAGTAAAGCACACACTATTTTGTTTTTACTTCCTGATCAGATATATTAGTGTAACCCAGTGTGCAAAGAATGCTCTGTGCTTAAAAGGACCATCTGACAGCTGTGTCTAGTTGAGACAAAGGAATATGTGAGAAGACAATAGGAATATTCACAAGCACTTCAATAAGAAAAAAGAAGAGGATATGACTAGAAATGCTTTGCAGTGAATATTAAAAATGTTGTTCAGGGGAAAATGCCTCGACGTAAGATTGCCTTAATTAAGAGACTTTTCACGGCATTTTGGAAGACAGAAGAAAAAGTGGACTACTGTGGACGCTTTAAATTGGAGACACCTATAGTGGATGCCCAGACTGCCTGATATAGAAATATGCTACATCAGTGCTCAGTAAAGGACTGTCCAAACAGGACACTTCAGAAATTGTGAAGTGACACAACTCCATCATAGAAAGTGGAAGTTAAAGTCCGGCAGACCGTTTTCTGTTTGGACACCACCAGGCAAACACCACGACTTTCCTCTTCACCTCCTCCACTTTTTGGTAACCTCAATGCTCATCAGACTTGATGTCACACGCCACCTACCAGTGGTGTGCCTGTTGTCTGTCCATCTCTCCTGCCGCACCCTCGTACCTTTGCCTTTCCTGTTTTCGGGACTCGAACAGCAGCGGAGGCCCTGAGCAATTGACCAACCGGGCGTGTGAGTGGCCGTCCAGACCCACATGATGAGCATGCTCAAGGCCCCTGTGAAGGACACAAGCGAAATTTGACGGAGGGAATAATTCCCAAGGCAAAACAAAATGGACAAAAGAGGACCGCCGCATGGCATATGACGAAGTTGTGTCATCTCACGATTTCTAAAGTATCTTATTTGGACACTTAAGCCTGCCATGCTTCAGTACTAAGTGGCCAGAACAACATATGACGCAGCAACCCTTGCACCATACTTCAGCCCTTCAGTTCTCGCCAAGGTTAGTTCCATGATCTCATGTTCGGACAGGAGTTCAAGTTTAGTCCCATAATATTTATCGTGAGACTAAACTTGAACAACGACCCTTGCAGCCTACACAGAGGCTTCACAGGAGGCATCTCACATTGCGTCCTGTACAACAGCAGTTGTCAGCAAACCATCTTCAGCCACAGCGTACCGTCTTCAGCCACAGCGTACCGTCTTCAGCCAGTCACCATGATGAAGGGTTCGAGTTGTTCGTCGGGCGGAAGCAGCTTGTTCAGCGTGTCCAGCTGCTCTATCGTCTTCGTCAGCAGCGTTTGGGAAGTCTGAAGCATCCCGGACAGCTCGTGGACTCTGGATAGCTGCTCCACATACTTGGCAAACTTCTTCTGACGCTCCGTGAGCATGTTGCTCAATGTTGACACGGCATAGTCCATCTGTGATGCAAAAGAAGAAGATATTGTTTAGAAACATGTACTCAGCAAAGGCACAGCTGACAACAGTTGTACCTCACTTCCTTTTAGGGTCAGCATGACCATGAACCCCCAAAGGAAAGCCAATAAGAAAAAAAGCATATTGGATCTTTTAGTCGAGATGGCAATTTTATTAAAAGCTTAAATAATGTAGCATTACCGGATACAGTTTCACTGACTGCGACACTAGGAAATTGCCAAGTGTGACGACAACATCACAAGCCATGTGGTGTCAGCGATGTTAGTGCCTTTGGTGAAGCCTTCTTTGTCGCCCTTAGCACACACACTTTGTAAGTTAAGGCAAGACACTGGTTCTAAAATCGACTTTTTTGTTTATTAATGGATTATAATGAAAAACAGTGTGTATATGTGTTTTGGCTTCCTCTTTTCAAATATTAATTAGTTCTGCAATATCTCAATTACTTTTTGAGTTACAAAGAAAATAATGAAGCCTAATTAGGTCATTTCTTACGACTCATTAAGGAACTTTCTAATACGAATTTTTTTGCATAAGTGATATGGATTTGTAGCTAAAGACCTGTCATGCAAGATGATGCTATTTATATTTTTGTAAAGATAGATCATTGTATAAAACTAGTCTAGTTAGGTCAAGTACACTATTTACAAAGCCTAACGAGGTCACATTATCACTAATAATAAAATTTCGGGCCCATACTGTCATACAAAAATAGCATCACCCTGCAGTTCACTTCTTTCTGAATTCAACAGTATAAAGTTTATAGAAATCCTTGAAGAATAATCTCATGAAAACAACCGTAAGGCTAGGCATGTAGACGAAAAATGCAAAGCTGAGAAAATTGCAGTTGAAGTTTTGACACTCATTGCATAATATTGAGTAAGGGATCACATGCAATAATGTTCAGCAATATGAAGCATAGTTCTATCTGAACAAATTGAGATTAAAAATTCTGCAATCCGTTCACAAGAACCTTTAAAAAATAATATAAAACTGAGAAATAATGTCTGCAGTGTAAAATAAAGTTATAAAAGAATGAGTGGACTCTATAAGGGACAACGGGAGGAGGCACAAAGGCTTGCACGTTCCGAAAGCAGATTTTGTTTGGCCCTGAAAAGGGCCTTTGTTCGTGTAGCACTTGAAAGGGGAGCCCCTCACAGCTGTCCAGGACTGTAGTCCCCAGCTGTTCCAGTTTGGTGTTGCCTGGAGAATCTCTGCTTTGCATTGCTGCTGCTCTGGTGGGCAGTGTTGGCCTTACGCAAACGCAGATTGTCCTTCTCCATGCTTTGAGAGCTTTCATGTCCACTACAATGAACTGTGTCCCAGCATCGCGCGTCTGGCCTCCTGTGGTGACGCCGAGAAGGTCGAATTTGCGCTGGGTCGCCGACTTTTCCGATAGCGCACGCTTGCATTCGTCCGATCATGCGACTCGTTGAAATATTGCTGTGAATCTGAGGCAGACTAGCCTCACAAGGTCATTACTTTGTAAACAAGCTTTTGATTCACAGGCATGTGCGCTTCCATGCCACTTCCACTTCAATGGCGCTCTACGAAGTCCCACAGGAAAAACTTTGGAGGATGCTGGGCAAATTTAGGAATTGCTTTTAGTAAATGATCGCATATGCGGGAGTTCAGTACCAGAGTGTATTAGTGCAGTGCAGCTCAAAAGCACATAGAGCGAAATCTATACCTGAGCAAAACATCTTATTGCTGATTTGGATATTACAAGTTAAATTTCCACCTCCTGCCACATTTCGACTCTTAAATGGGAAGCATGTCTCAACACGTGTGACACTTTCTTCGGATGAAGGCAGTGTGCTGCGAAACAGGTGCCAATTTTTGAATCTATCGAACACAATACCAAATACATTAAAGCTTATTTGCATTTGCTAGCGTGTAAAATATTTCAAATGCTCTGGTGGGAAATGACCGTTTGTCTTCTCATCTGCAAAATGGACGTGTGGAAGCGGCGCAAAGTTTTGACAGACGCAGAAATTGTGGCGTCGCTTCAGCAAGGTAACGACAATGGCTTGGACATGAGTGTAAGCTCAGTGACAGCAAAACCTCAGGGTTCTTCATGAGCGAAGTCTGCGATTTTTTTCCCCCCTGAAACCTACTTGTAAAAATACCCGTCTTCATTAACTACCGTGGATATCAAATGAGTAAAAATAAAAAAACGTCTCCCTTTCTCTGTACTTTAACACAACGAGAAGCAGCATGCTATTCATTTACATTATAAACAAGGTTGAAATGTTAGTCCAAGAATAATTTTCAAGCTTTTTGAGCAAATAAGATCACTCCCCAGGGCATGGTTGCCCCATACTCAGGAATATATCATCTCCCAACTTAAAGGGTTCATATAAAAATGCCTTCTACTAGCATACATTTGTGTGTAATCCATAATGCACGATGAAGAAATCAAGTGGCTTTGTTCAACCTCAGGTAATCTTCCCGTTGAATATTTAATGCCGACTAGCGGCTACGGGGGATTGTGGTTTGTCCCCTAGAAGAAGAAGAGGGCTGATGAGGTTGATAGTACAATTAAAAGAGAACAAGTGAGTGTGCCACACAGTTTTTCGTTGAAGTCGGTTGTCACGCCTTTCGGTAAACAACCTCAACCTCACCCAAGAAGTCGCCAGACTAGGGAAGCACTTCAAAGGTGCAACATATTGGTGCCGAAACCCGGGATTTTGAACATGAGGAATCAACTAAGAATGGCTCGGCAAAAGACGAAGCGGAAGGTTCGATGGAGCCAAAACACGAAGATTATCACCAAGAGTATGACTCCGCTCCGGTCAACCACCATTGACGTCAACATTCTCGAGAAACCTACGGGACAGGCTGATCGACAGCAACAAAGGACTGTGCAAGGTCGACGAAAAGATTGAGCTGCGCACCCACCGATGCCGACTTAGAAATGAAGTATACAGCAGTCACAGATTACAAAGACAGAGTCGTTAGAGCGCTTGGTGAGCTACGCAGCAAGATCGCACGTCAACAAGCAATTACGGCCACAACCGATCCAGCAGCCAACGGAGAGAGATGACCACCCCTCTCGTGCCACTGGAGGGAAGCTCCCCAAACTACAACTCTCATAATATTGAGGGGAGCTCAATCTGTGGCGACCTTTTTGGAAATAATTTGACGCAGCAGTGCATTGCAACAACAGACTCTCTGAAGCACAAAAATTTCAGAACCTGCACTCCATATTGACTGGGCCAGCCGCCGGTGCTATCTCCGAGCTGCAGGCAACAGCAGCGTGCTACAGGAATGCTACTGAAATTCTTTTCCCATGCCCTGGTGACAAGCAGAGCATTCAACGTGAATACCTCAAAAGAATCCGGAACTTACCAACCGCGAAATCATAGCGAGATATTCGAGGTCTTTGAAGTGTCTACGATCACGTCCAGACCAACGTTTGTGGATCTCATTCCTTGGGTGTTTCGAGTGTCATGTACGCCACCATGATGGTGGACATACTTCTGACGAGTATTCCAACTGACATTGTTGTGGAATATCATATATGCAAGAGCTAAGGGAAGCAACTTTGAATTTTTGCAACGAGGAAGGATGCTGGCTCGACGGACGACGGGACACTCTCGAACACCGCACATGAATTGTCAACGGATGCAGGTAGGGAGCTGGCAGAACTCCTACATTTTCTGCAAGCGGAAAATGAGAGCTGGGAACAGTCAGTGCCGCGTGAGCGAAGACCAACGAGCATTATTACCCAGACTCGCAATCGAAGGAAAGACGTTTATTCATGGACAACGCTAGTGCTGCAAACCAGTAAGACAGACAACACACGCTCGTTTTGCAACAAGCGAAATCACTGTATCATCGGTTGTACTTACGAAATCACTGTAGGCGAGAAAAAGAGAAGGTTAGCGCATGAAATAAGATGTTTTCGGTGCACCAAACGAGGTCATTGATAGACAGACTGCCACAACAAAGCGAGATGTTCCGGATGCGTGGGACGACATGCTCTACCAATGAGCAGTCGGGTTTGGCGGACACCGTCACCTGTTCGGAGAGGTCACAAGGAGACCTCCAACATCTTTACAACAGATAGCGCAACGTTGCACAGGTTTTCGAGAGTTCTGCTGCCAACGTTCCGGAGCTGGGCTGTACTGACCGGAGCAATGCTAACAGTAAAATTCTGATAATCCGCCCATTCCACACTAAGCGCCCACCCCGAAACTTTGTAACATCCGAAAAAATATGAGCAGTAGATATATGTAAAATTGATGACCCAACAAGCGCCTATTCACCAAGTTTTTGCATTCATTTCGAAATTTTGAGTGGGCGCTCGCTAAGTATTTTACGGTATATCCGCGGCGTTATCGACGCCGCAAGCCAGAAGACATTTATCAGAGAAGTCTTGGACACAAAGCTGAACCTGAAAGTGGTCAGTCAACGGAGGATGCTACCGAACAGATTTGCTAATGACTGCTCCGACATCTTCGGACAGAAGTATTCATTGGTTAGAATACGACTGAGAAGCCAGAGTATGACGACGGCGTTGTTGTCCCTTTTATTTGTTGGGACACCTTTCAAACACTGATCAAGCACTCTTTCCACAAAACCATCGCGGGTGATCTCGCCAACAAGGTGACATTTCCTTCGAAGCGAGCAAAGGTTGGCGTAAGCTTGTTCATTGTAGCCGATCAGATGTGGAGCTTGCTCACCGGAAAAACACGCAGCTCATCTTCCAACACCGATCTGGTAGCCATATCAACCACCCTAGAAAGGACTTTTCAGGAGCCGACAAACAGAATGCACGACATAACAAGCAGACGAAGTCATGTGTCCTGCTACTGCGAGTTGACCAACAATGCGACCCGGTGCTTATCGAAGACAACAAACAAGCCGGTGTGCGTGTGCTAAGTGGGCCACGCTTTGCCCTCCACGTACACTAACAAGGCACACCCCGAACAAACCAAGTGGCTGCATCGGAGCCTGCAGCGGGAAGCAATCTGCTCGACCG